GCAATAGAGAAACTGCCTAATTTATCATTACAATAAATGTGTTGAAGAAATGTTAAATCTAGCACACTTGACACTGGTGTATGCTGATTTTTTAAAAATTTCTTTATAATAGACATGAACATGTGACATGATTACTAATTATAGCAAATTATATTAGCTTTCCAGTTACATAGTAATGTTGAATTTATTTTTAAATATGCTTATTTAAAATAGTCTATTAAATAAAAATATTATTATATAGTATTGTTGATTATATACCAATTTATAGAAAATTGTATTGGTGCTTTGTGAATAATAACTCAACTTTAAGATATAAAGAATTTGAGAATCAAGAAGTACCCAAGACCTTGAAGTTATCAGACCTTCATACCAGTAACTTAAAATTTTCCGCGGTCACCCAAAACGTCAGATAATAAGCTTTTCATATCTAAAATTCTAAGGCCTCGTTGAGATATTGCAAAGAATAAATGTTAAAATACACACACAGGCACACACGCACACAAACACATTTTTAGGGTTATGCTTGAGGGAGTAATGGGGCAACTGTGCATCACTGGATAGTTGATTTTACTGTCTTAAATTGTTTAGTCACTAAGTCATGTCTTAAGTAGAGGTGTTCTGAATGTGCTTGCAGATAGAGGGAAGAAAGTCTGTAGAAAAGGGAGACTGAATATGCTTGAGAAAGGAGAATTGATGAGGCGTGGTCCCCAGGGAAGAGGTGGGGATGGGCTCAAGATGATTGATAGAGGAAATGAGGGTAGCAGGGAGTAAGAGGATTGATTGAGGGGATAAATTGGTTCAGAATGAAGCCAGATGTTCAAAAAGCAAATGTTATTCACCTTACCCTTTTTGGTAATTTCCCTGTTAAAATGCCTTGATCAGAAACAAGGGGTCAGATTTTTCAGTAATCACCATCATTGGTAACCCACATACTACATTCCTCTCCTGTGTAGGTATTCTTGCTCTCTCTTAAAGAGTTCCCAAAATGAAAAATAGACTTACATTGTATTAGATTCTACATAATACCAGGCTCATTACTTATTAGGTGAGATAATTAAATAATCAGAGCTGGTGACTTTAAATGGTAAACTTTTATTCTGAATATACTGTTTTTGCACAAGATTTAACACAACATTTTCTGGGATTATAAATATTTTTATAACAGTAATATACAAATTTTTACAAAAATGTTTTTATCAGGCTAATTTCCACAAAAGTGTCAAGAGAACATAATAAAGGGGAGAAAGGATATATTGTTCACAAAGCCACTTGGCCTTTTTCATGGATGCACACTGAGCATTTCAGTAAAAGTATCCCTAATAGTAATGATCCAACAACATACAGCACAACAGAAAAGACAGCTCTGTCAGGTCACACTGTAGACTTAATTGGCATCTTTTCAAGACAGTATCCCATTAGTCTCAGAATTTCTTTGAGTTAATCTTGTGAATTAGAAATAAAGTAGATGAAACTGTTGGTAAAGATTTTCTAAGACTTTAACATTCTGGAATTTTTTCAAGAAATCAAGAAATTTCAAACCTTTGCTTTATTGATTTGCTCTTTACAGAAATGTACATGGAATAATAGCAGTATTAACATTCTATGCTATGGGAAAACAACACAGGTTCCAGATAATTGTAACATATTTGAAACTGTGAGAAGGTGAAATCATCATTCTACTGTATCCTCTGAGTCACAACATCCATTTTATTTCCCTTGGTCAGCCTTTTTACCTCTAGACACTTTAATGTCAACTAACGTGATTAATGGAATAATTCAGAGTTTAAATTAAGACATAGAATTTAAGCTTTGGTGGAGAGAAAGATTTAAATGAGATGTAAAATACAAAAGAGCATCAAATAAGCAAGTAACACTTGGGTTGCAAAGGTCACTTAAAAGGGATACTGCCTATTTGAACCCAGTAAGGCCAGTTTTAAAGTTAATAAAAGGAATATTATAGGAAAACTTACAAATGGCAGCAACACTGTCTAGATTTTTCCAAGTTAAGCAATAATGCCTCAAGCATTAGAAACATGAAAAAAGATCATACTAAAATCTTATTAGACCCAGGACCTAAAAATCTCTTCAGTCAAACTTGCTAACTATGTCATGTTAAAAACCTGTTACAAATATGGACCACGATTGGTGTTTGGCAGTAATGCTGGTTGTTCAAATGAAGAAAATATAAACAAATCATTAATGCAAAATCCATTCCTGTTATTCAACACCAATGCAAGACTTATTTTGTTTTAGTGAAAACTACACAGCGGCATGAGCATAGCGAAAAATTAGGTAAGCAAAAGGAGTTTAAAAGCTTTTTTCTTGATCTCTTGTATTTTTAGTCTTTGAAAATTAATATTATAACAGGCTGTGATTTAAGTTATTGTCCAACAATCAGAACTCAGAAAAATCCTAAAGTAAAAATAACAATTGGATGGAATGAGTGTTACGGTCTTTCAAAATGCATGAAGACTAGTATTAAGCATGAGAACAGTTTTTAGTCAAAGAGCATGTTCTTAATTTATTAACATATATGTGGCTGTCATAATATATCTTTAATTTATAACAGAAAATAAAGGATCATGGCAAGACTCATGCACGTAAATATATTTTGATGGCAAATGAAATCAAATAGGACCCTGCCAGGAGATGCCAAGTTTCACTGTGAAGAACACAACAATATAGTTGATGAAAACATACTTCGGTGACATTAGCCATGAAAATATATTTAATAGATTTTAAAGATAATTTTAAGGTAGTCTGTTGTATGCTGGAAGCAATTTGCTTGTTTTAATGTGCGTCGTTTATGTACACAAGCTAACATAACTATATTTTGATATCCCCTTCTCAACACTTTCATGATTTAAAATAGTCTAGCAAAAGTTAACAATAAGTTTTAAATATTTAATTAACAAACAACATGATTTAAACATATTGTTACTAGAGTGAGAAGTTCCATATTTTTTAAATCACTTTGGTGTTTTCTGAAATGTCAATACCAGTTACAAATGAGACTACAAAATCACAACAATGTATTAGAAATGGTAACTGATGTCAACTCTTAGAACAATAGTTGGCAAAGTGATTCCATTTCCCTCTACCCCCGTTTTTAAATAAAAAAATATTTTAAATAAGGAAATGTACATAAGTGGTACCTAGGGTATATTAGTGGTGAAGGGAATTACAAATATATGCAAAGCTAAAAACAAAACATATATATCTTTTAAACTATGCTAAAGAATTGGTTATATCTTTGATATATGAAGCATATTAAAGCATACTGGATAATGTTAATAAGATTTTTACTTAAAAATGATATATAAGAAAATTTCCAGCATAGACACATACCAGTTTCTGGTATGTTTGAAAAAAGAATATCTGCATACTTCCAGCCTTCAGCAGAATTATTCCCTATAATTGTTACACATTCATTGTTTTTATCCTTTCTTCAAATACTGTTTAACCCTGTAAATAATCTTTAAAAGCATAAATAAATTCTACCATATTACTCTATAATGAAATATCTGTTTTAATACACTAACCATTTTCACTAATGAGGCTGTATAAAAACAATTTTGATTATTCACAATCAAGTATTCATGTGCATACATAGAGATTCAAGGTTTCCTATTTGTTCAGATTATTGTAAAACCCTCATCAAACTGTATGGAAATTTTGGTCAAGTGCTCATATCATTTAAAATGGAGGCAACAGAAGCAGCAGCGAATTTGGGATTGTACGTGCTACTATTCCAGCGAACAGAGAGGAAACCTAGCATGTCTCTTCACTGAGAACATATATGTACTCTTCAAAAAATAAATGTGTCAAATCTGATTTATGTACTTAAAATATCTGTACATAGGTTTTCAGGCAAAAGCACGAATCTGTATAAAATCCATTAATTCCCATTTCACCAATCCAATCATTCAGCATTTACATTGCACAGTATATTCAGAGTAGTTTAAAGACATTTTAAAAGATGACTTAAGTGCATTACACTGCAAGGTTCAGATTCTTACATAACAATAATGTCACTCAGTTAACTTCTCAATGGACTATACTCTACAGTAAGAGAGAAACAAACCCAAAGTTAAAATAGCAGCAGCATCATGCAAAATACCCTTGGTAACCAAAGTTCATTTATCACAAGAAAAAACATTTCCCCTCCCCCCAACAAGCTTTTCTTAGAGCATTTTGAAGTATCTGGCTAGCACTACGGAACTTTACTGTGAACAAAAAGGACATTACATCGAAGCATTTATTAAGGGCTCACATTTATGAGGAAATATGTCACATATTGATTCTACCTTCAAGCACCTTTAATGTAATTTCTTACTTACTATTTTCAACCAACCAATTTATTATACCCACCAAAACTTGACCATCAGTTGTGTTATATCTCTGGCAGAGAAGCCATTCTTCATTAGGCATTTTATTCATGGCATTTTTTTTTTTTTTGTAGAAAATAAGCCGTTATTTCTATTTTGCCAGATTACACCAATGTTAATGCTTTCTCCCTCTGTTTCTCTCTATATATTTCCAATAACAACTACTCAAAGCAGGAAATAATTTTTAACAGAAGAATAAGTGAAGGAAATAAAGCAACTCTTTTCCCCAAGAGATTTTCTTGGTAAAAGAACAAGGACTGCAGCAAGTCAAAATCAAGACAATTTGCATGATCCATAAACAACTGTGTGGGGAGCCCTTTAACATGTAATCACCAACAATGCAACAACAACTTTTCAAATTTTCCAATAGAGCATGTATAGAATTTTGCTTCGATGTTATACATAGATGATGCAGCATTCACACAAGTTGAAGGATCTGACACCCTGACATGCAGCCAGTGGGTGCCTTATGAGTCTTCGTCTTAGATGGATGCCATGGGGTGGGCCCAGCTAGTGGTCTGCTGAGTTCGCAGTTGACCCTATTTTAATGCAGTTGAGGGCTCCTGATTCAGCAGGGTCTAGAGTTTAATCTGCAGATTTGGTTTGAGAAGGTCATAACTGGTGGTGTCTGCTGCCAGATAAAAGCCAAAGTAATACACACTGGATGCCGATGATGGACCACAGGGAGGGGTTTAATCCAGAGACACCACCACAGTCGGTATAATCCTCCTGTTGGAAAGAAAAGGGAAAAGAAAACTCCTGAAAAATATTTAGTAAGACATCTTTCCAAGTACCCTATGTTAGTCCACTTCTGAACTCACCTTATAATGCTGCTTTGCTTTGAATCCAGATAAATTACATTGTCCTATATTTTACTATTCAACAATTTTGGATTAATCTATTTTCCCAGTACCATTTGAAGAATGCTTTACATTTTTAGTTGTAGAGTCTGATGATTATTAAAGGAAATACTTTAATAATAAATGCTGAGTTGAATGATATACCAATTTCTAAAGTAAAAAAAAAAAACCCTTACTTTCACAGTGTTAAGCATCCTTTTATATTTATAAATGTAAGATATAAAAATGTAACAGTCTGTTTTGTAATTCCAAAGAATTAAGATATTAGCAATTATGCTCTATAAGGCAAAGTTTGAGACTGGTAAAAGAAATAAATTTGAAAAATGAGCATTTATTTTCCATATCCAGTTTCAAAGGTTGTACATGTAGCATCTGGACCTTCATCAAGAATTAAATGAACAATAATGTAGTTGAACCCTCAAGGAAGGACACTTTGAAAACATATCCAAAATAAAGAGCTAATCTAGCGAGATTTGTTCTGTTTAGAGATACCAATTTGCTCATTTGGATCCCCCATTGTCTACTGGTGGATCATTAGATTCCTTGGTAACACAAAACTACTTTTATTCCTAGGTTCTGTATTCTGTAATATTTTTTGCATCCTTTGATTCCTTTATGAATTGCATTTAAAAAATACTTCCTATCTTGAGGTAAAATGACTAGGTGTAAGATAAGCTACAAGGATATATTATACAACATGAGGAATGTAGCAATGTTAATTTTATAACTATAAATGGGAGAAAAACCTTTAAAAATTGTGAATCACTATATTTTACACCCAGAACTTTAATATTATAGGTCAATTATACTTCAATTAAAAAAACAACAACTCCACAATCCCTTCAGAAACCCAGAAAACCCCTTATCTCACTATTTTCCTAAACATCTTTTAGGAATTCACTAATCCAAGGTTCATCTTCCAATAATCAGAATAACAGGTTATGAAAGAAAGTATATTTTAGAGTCAGAAAAATTTTACAAACACTCTGAGCTCCCAGACACTAAAACAATGGCTTTTTTTGCTCAGTAGAGTTTAATACAGTGCCTGTCACCGAGCATATACAATTTCTTCTTGAATTGTATTTTAAGGCAGTAGAAGTCTGTTAAAGATAAATCTGAAGAAAAATAATCCATTAAAGAACATTTTGTTTTTCACATCTCAGAGGTGGGATTCCTGGATCATATAGTAATTCTATTTTTAATTTTTTGAGGAACCTCAATATTGTTTTCCAGAGTGGCTGCACCAATTTACACTTCCACCAACAATATGTAAAGACAGTCCAAATCCTTTTATCTATAGCATTGCCAGCATTTATCTCTTGTCATTTTGATAATAGCCATTCTAACAGGTGTGAGGCGATACTCGTGGTTTTGACTTGTATTGTTCTGATGTTTAGTGACATTAAGTATTTTCATGTACTATTGGCCATCTGTATATCTTCTTTGTAAAAATGCTTATTGAGATCCTTTGCTAATTTTAAAATCAGATTATTTCTTTGATATTGAGTTATATGAGTTCTTTATAGATTTTGGATACTGGCCCCTTATCATGTACACAATTTGCAAACATTCCCTCCCATTCTGTGGGCTGCCTTCTGATTCTGTTGTTTTCCTGTGCTGTGCAGAAAATTTTAAGTTTTACGTTATCCCACTTTCTTGTTGTTGCCTTTGCTTTTCTATGGTGACAAGTCCAAACAGTCATTACCAAAACCAGTGCCAAGGAGATTACTCCCTGTATTTTCTCCTAGATTATGGTTTCAGGTCTTCAAGTCATTAATCCATTTTGAGTTGATTTTTGTGAATGGTGTTAAGATAGTGGTCCAGTTTTATTCTTCTACACATGGCTGTTCAGTTTTCCTATTACTTCAGCTGTTTAATATAGTTTCAAATCAAGATGTATCATGCATCCAACTTTTCCTTCAAGATTGCTTTGGATATTTGGGTCTTCTGTAGTTTCATATATATATTTTAGGATTGTTCTAATTCTGTGAAAAATGTCATTGAAATTTTGATGGTGATTGCATGGAATTTATGAATTACTTTGGGTGGTACAGACATTTTAACAATTCTTCTAATCTATGAGCTCTGACCATCTTCCATTTATTTCTTTCATCTCTGTCTTATAGTTTTCAAAATATAGGTCTTTCACTTCCTTGGTTAAAATTATTCTTACTTATTTTATTCATTTTGATCCAATTCTAAGTGGAATTACTTTCTTAATTTCTCTGAGAGTTCATTATTATTATACAGAAATGGAAATGTTCTTTGTACAATAATTTTATATTTTGCATTTTTACTGAATTTATTAACTCAGTTTCTTGGTTGAGTCTTTAAGACTTTCTATATATAATATCATGTAGTCTATAAATAAAGACAGTTTTAATTCTTCCTTTTCAATTCGGATGTCTTTTATTTCTTCATGCCTATTTGCTCTGCTTAGCACTTTCAGTAATATGTTGAATAAAAGTAGAGTGGGCATCTATATCTTGTTCCTGATCTTAGAAGAAAAAGTTTTCATCTTTCACCGAGTATGTTAGTTGTGATCGTATCATATATGGCCTTTATTATGTTGAAACACATTCCCTTTATAGCCACCATTTTGAGCATTATCATAAACAGGTGTTGAATTTTGTTGAATGCTTTTTCTGCATCTATTAAGATGATCATGAGATTTTTTTGCCTTCATTTTGCTAATGTGTGTATCACATCAATTGATTTTGTGGTTTGTGAATAATCACTGCATTTCAGGAACAAACCCCACTTGATCATGGTATATGACCCTTTTAAAGTATTGTTGAATTAATTTGATAATGTTGAGGATTTTTTCATCTATTTTCATCAAGTATATTGACTTGCAATTTTCTTGTAGTGCCCTTGTGTTGTTTTGGTATCATGGTCATAAGACTGGCTTTGTAAAAATTAATTAGGAAGTATTCATTTCTCTCTTATTTTTTGGGAGTTTGGAAGGGACAGGTATTAATTGTTCTTTGAATGTTTGGGAGAATTCACAAGTGAGGCCATCTGTTTGTGGACTTTGTTGGAAGGTTTTTGATAACTGATTCAATCTTCTAACTAGTAACTGGTCTGTTTAGATTTTCTATTTCTCCATGAATGAGTCTTGACAGGTTGTATGTTTCTAAAAAAGTATCCATTTCTTCTAGGTTGTCGGATTTGTTTGCAATTTTTAAATTGTATTATTATTTCTCCCTTTGTTAATATTTGCTTTATATATTTAGGTGCTCCTATGTTGGGTGCATAAATATTTACAACTGCTTATATCCTTTTGTTAGATTGACTCCTTTTTTATTATGTAATGATCATGACTGTCTCTTACTAGATTTGTATTAAAGCCTATTTTGTCTATGTATATACCTATCCCAGCTTTCTTCTGGGTTTGATTTGTATGGAATATCTTCTTCCATTTCAGTCTGTGAATGTCTGTAAAGTTGAAATGGGACTCTATAGTTATTATAAATATAACATGCTTATTTAAACCTCATAATATTTAGTGCTATATATGCAGTAAGTTATAACATCTTACTTATTTTGAGACTTAAGTTCAAATGCATTCTAAAACTCTACTCTTTCCTCCATGTTCTATGCTTTTGATTTAACAATTTACATATTTTTAGTCTGTGTAACCATTGATTATTGTATGATAGTTATTTTTACTATATTTGTCCAGGTGATTAACCCAGTCATTACAATATTAGATTATTCTGAATTTGACTATTTTTACCAGTGAGATTTATACTTTGATATGTTTTCCTATTATTAATTAGTGCTGTTTTGTTTCATATTAAAGGAGTGCCTTTAACATATCTTATAAGGTCAGTCTAGTGGTAATGAACTCCAGTGTTCACTTGTCTACAACTCTTTATTTATCCTTCGAATTGGAAGGACAGTTTTACTAGATAAGAGTATTTTTGGTTGGTAGGTTTTCTTCTTTCAGTACTTTACATACATCATGCCACTCACATCAGGCCTGCACATTTTGGTGGAAAGATACTGGTAGCCTTAAATGTCTCTTTGTAAGTAACAAGATGTATTTCTCGCTGCTTTTAAGGTTCTCTCCTTATCATTTACTTTAAAAATTTTTAATATTTATTTTATATTAGAATATAGTTGATACACATTGTCATGTCAGTTTCAGGTGTATGGCAAAGTGATTCATTTATACATAGACATATATCTACTTTTTGGGATTATTTTCTTATATAGCTTATTATAGAGATGTTGAGTGACGTTTCCTGTGGTTTACAGTAGATCCTTGTTGATTATCTATTGTAGGTATATTAGTGTGTGTATGTTAATCCCAATCCCAAAATGTATACCTCCCCTGACATTTCCCTTTTGGTAACCAGAAGTTTGTTTCTGAAGTCTGTGAATCTGTTCCTGTTTTGTAAATAAATTCATTTGTACTATATTTTTAAATTCCACATATAAGTGATATCATATGCTATTTGTCTTTGTCACTTACTTCTAGTGTGATTATCTCTAAATCCATCCATGATGTTGCTGCAAATGGCAATATTTTGTTCTTTAATGGCCAAATAATATTCTGTTGCATATATGTACCACAGTTTCTTTATCCATTCCTCTCATGATTGACATGTAGGTTGCTTTCGTGTTCTGTCTATTGTAGATAGTGTGGTGATGAACACTGGGGTGTATGTCTCTTTTCCAATTATAGTTTTCTCCAGATACAGGCCCAAGACTGGGAGTGCTAGATCATATGATAACTCTATTTTTAGCTTTTAAGGAACCTCCATATTGTTCTCCATAGTGGCTACATTTCCAGCAACAATGTAGAAGGGTCCCTTTCCCTGCACCCAGTGTTTATTGTTTGTGGACATTTTATGGCAGTTG